ACCTGAAAAAAATCAGGCCTGTACGGGATTCGAACCACTGACCTCTGCGATACTAACCTCTGCGCATAACCTCTGCGATACTAACCTCTGCGCATAAATAGCGCTCTCTACTGCGAGGATCATGCATCATACGTATCTAATACCGCAGTTCAAAATATATGAACTTCATATATACATTGTATCTGATTTATCATCACGGGTTTATCACGAATCAACTTAATGGCCTGCTCCCAGTTGGCTTGTTAGCTCAATTGGTAGAGCGCTGCACTAGTATCGCAGAGGTCAGTGGTTCGAATCCCGTACAGGCCTGATTTTTTCAGGTCTGATTTTCACTATTGCATAAATAGCGCTATCTACTGCGAGGATCGTGCATCATACGAATTAGAGAGCTGCTAAAGTCGTACAGAGCATTTGTAGTGAAAGCAGCTCTCTAATTCTTACATACCTTAACTTGGGCTCAAATCAATGGGAAACGAGTCGGATTAAAAAAAAACTGTAGATCGGCAAGGGAATATTTCTTTGAGATCTAAAGAATGAAACAAAAATGAAGAAAATCTCTCTGTGTCTTTAGTAATGGCGCACAGGTGGATTTATTTCAAAAACCGATGTAGGGAGAAATTTGTTAAACTTTGAAACCGAAAAAGACTGATTTAACTCCCTCGGTTTACGTGAATTTGGCGAGTCACAAGGAAGTTTTTGAAATGACATACACAGGGAAAAATAAAAAACTCGAACAAACCTACAAGTTTTGTTGTAAACTTTTTTTCGCCGAGAATTCCATTTAATTTTGCCCCAAATAAATATTCAACAGACTGAATATCCGATAAACAGTTTAAAAGTAATCAAAGCACGTAACAACACTAAGCCATTTTATATCTTTATTATGTTATTTTCTCTTTTTACCTTCAACTCAACGATAAAAACACCGTGGAAACTTGTACAATCTATGAGTGGGCTCTTCAGGCACATTCATCATTACCTGGTTGACTGTAAACTTTAATCAAGGAGAAAACAGAGGATATTGTTCCCGTGACCATCACTATTACACCAACCACAACCACAACACCGTCAGCCACAATGTTACACCATGTCATGTCCTGAAAGTATATCTTCATATGAAACAAAGGTGGAAATATGAACTCCAAGCTGATACCAGCGATACTGCCGACCAGGGCTAATATATAGGAGTAGGACGGAAAGGAAGCAGCAAAAATCACACTCATACATACCATTGACATACGAAATACAATGACAGACGGAGTGAAGATAGATTTACCAAAGCTCCCTGGCAAGAGAAACAATGAGGAATTCTCAATTATCTCAAATATAGTGAACATTGGCAGAGTGTAGGAAGTGATGGACAGTACTGCCGCCATCACATTCACTGCTACTCGGAATGAGCCCTCTGGCAAGTTATTTGTTATAACTTCGGCCGTTTCTCCTTCAAATAAGTTATAAGCGACTACTCCAATAGTGACATTGAGTAATGTCATAGCTAGGTAGGACAAATTCATCACTGAGTCGAACTTTTCCTTGTAGCGCATGCTGCCTTCGATGAGTGATACAAACGGCTGCGACAGATAACTTGCTACAAGGACTCCTAAAGCTGACGGATATGTACTGGCGTCGAAATTTTCCAAATGGCTTATCTCCCACTTTTGTACATGCAATACGCTGTACGTAACAACGGTGAAGAAAATAACTTTTGCAGAAAGCACCGTTAAGATGCTGGTCCATGCCACCTGAGAAAGGTTTTTAAGAAAAATATTTGGAAAGAAAAGTATGCCGCCAAAGAGTGTCCAGAGCCAGCAAGGAACAGTAACGTGGGGAAACGATTTGGCCAATATTCTTCCAACCAGTAAAGGATAAACTCCAGCAACAAACAGCAACTCTACAAACTGAGTAACAAGGACGAGATTTCCTCCCAAGTTCGGCAGAAAAGCGTCGCCAATATCTACGTAGGAATCGCGGACCCTTTTTCGTTTACCGCTCTTTGGATCTGTTTCATAGAGGCACCGAACAATGGTTTTTCCAGTGTAATTAGAAGCAGCCGCGACTAGTAGAAGAGTAAAGATGGCTAGGTAGCCACCATTTCGAACGGCGTAAGGTATGACCAATATTGGTAGACCTTGAATTGTGTTGCAAGTGTTCCAAAATGCCTCAAATGTCGAGGCAAATGTTCTTTTATCCCACGACGTGTCCTCCTCATGTTGATCATTGATGTCACATTGTTTATGGTCTTCCAAAAGATTCTTTTTAGCCTCTTCCATCTCTTGATAACCTTCTCCTTTCATTTTATCTCTACCCTTTATAAGAACTCTCGGCTAAACATAGCGTGCATGCCCCTTTAAACTGAACAAGCTCCCATTTGCCAAAGCGCCTTCATCATTTATGTCCGCGATGCATTAGTGTCAAGTCGATAATTCTGACTGATATCTGCACTGTGATCTGTCGACTGTATAGCAGGGTCTTAAGTCCACTGAGTGCCACATGTCGGACGATCTGAGAACCTTTTAATTCAGTCGGCAACGACTTTTCATCCGGCGTTTTCAATACCTTGGAAGTGGCGAGAGGGCTGGTTGCATGTCGACAGCCACCTGTCTCTACCCATACGCCCCCACGAGTCGTTAATCGGAGAACTTCTCCAAGGTTTTCTCTCGAGTTTAAATTTTTCCGAATACTATAAAGGGAACCATAGTGATCTCTTTTTAATTAAAGTAGTTTTGTCACCGGCTAATTGGAACGTCATATAATGCTGTGCTTATTGTTTCAAATTCACCATGTTTCGTCTCGCCCTGAAAGCCAATCGTATCCTTAGGTATGAATGGACGGCGTAATTTTTTTCCTGACACAAACTTGAAATGAAACGTATTGTGGGTAAAACAGTTTAGCGCATTTTTATTTTTTATTTATTTACTTTTCTTGGAACATATCTGATAAACTTTTTCATAATCAATATCGACATTGCCATTATTATTTCATTGTTATATTATTATTTTTCTTTTCCATGTTTCTGTAGAAACAGTTCGCTCTCCCAAGAATGAAGAAAAAGGAAGATATCCACCCGATTTAGCCTTCCGCCTTGAAGGAAATGAATTAAAGCTCTAGAACGAAATGAATAGCGTGTTAGCCATTAAATGATCACGAGAAGAAGACAGAAAGAAGATCAACGATAACTTTTAGTCTAAGTAATCAGTCCCACCCATGAAGAAGTGGTAACAATAAACGTCTTTTCATTCAAACTTTGCATATTTAATCAACTATTCATCAAAAAAACTATAGCAGGAAGATCACCATGACTTCTTTTCTGCAGTGAAGCTGTGATATAACACCTTCTGAACCAGCTTGGCATCAGAAGCGACGAACATGTATTAATAGATCAGCTATCCGTTGTTTTTGTTCTTCATTACCGATTCTGAACCTAACAAAATTGTTCTGAGCAATTTTATGTTTGCATTATCTTCAATATATCAAAAGTTTTGAAATTAAAACCACAAAATACTTGGAAACGCCGAGAAAGGAAAGACTGCCGTGACCTCTGGAGCAGAGATCTGCATGACACTTCCTGAGATGTAGATTTTAAAGTATGACTTCGGACCCATAAAATCCCCTGGAATCTCGAGAGTTGGGCTTCGGGGCGCATTGCAAAGCCCGGTGATCAGGGTGCTGTGTTGACCTATCCTGAGAAAATCATCTCAATTTTGTCAACTGAGGTAGAATCGGTCAATCTGTCAATCGTGAGCAAATGATTTAGTTTTGATCTTACGTTTAACATCTGTTTGCTCATTCATGTCCACCCTATTGTTCAATATTGTCAGTTTAAGGGAAACTGGCTGTTGTTTAAAGGCTACAAAAGCTGACGTTTCGAGCGTTAGCCCTTCGTTGGCTCGCTGTTGTTTAGTTTTACGGCGTATAGCAATCACAGAAAGTTTTTATCAATACAGGGTAATGTGGACGGTTTTTTTATGTTGAACGCAAACTTATCGAACCAACGCAAAAAGCAATACGAGGTAATGTATGACGTATGTTTTTCCTAGCTCAATAAACTTTCTCTTAGCAAAACTCCGCTGGAATATTTCAAAAGGAGGAGAAATACCAATAGAAACAGAGAGATACTAACATTGAGCCCGTGAACCTCACGAACTACTAAAATACTCAATGTCCATACCAGCCCCAGAAATTCCTGATGTAATGAACAAACATTACTGAAAGGGGTGACAAAATGATGAGAATTTGATGGTTGAGGCTAAATCTAAAATTTTGTTGTAAACTCTCGAGGCTGCGCCTCGTGAGTCCACATGATTTTGACCACTGTGATGACGAATGTCGTTGTCGATAAGAGAACAGACCACACTAAACCACTGTCGAATTGTTCAATTTGAAGAAACCCTCATTTTGTTCATCCCGAATTAAAAAAAAAAAAAATAGTATTAAATACATACTGAAATTTACACAATGAAAAAGCGCGAAATAAACAGAGATTATCCCATGAAAAGCGCGCCCAAACAATGTTTATTTGCTCGTTGCGATGCATCGAAAAAACTCACTTGTTCGTTTTTTTTTCCTGATGCATCGCAACGAGGGAATAAAATTCGTTCATGCGCACTTTCCATGGTATCTTTTTAACTCATCCGTACTGAGATTTTTCTCACTGACCGACGCATTTTAAAGATTGGAAGCGAACGACTGTAAAAATACATCGTTCGTGCAGTCACAGTGGAAATCTTAGTACATGTATGCGTGTAGTAAATTTTCATTCGTAAGCTAGTCGAAGAAGCCGAGAGCCAATCAAATAGTGCGTATCGGTTTTTACCTGTGCAAAGAAACGACACGTCCAATCGGAAGCCGCGCATCATATTTTTTCATCTGTAAAGCGTATTAAGGCGATTCCCGTTCATCGTTCACTGGCAGCGTTTCGCTTTTCAAACCGATCGGAAAATTATTAAAATCCACTTTCAGGTCTGTCTATTTAAGTCAAATTATTTAAAAAGATGACTGAGGAACTTCTGCGGAGGATTATATGGAACAGAAAGCATACAGAACAAAAACTCAGAGGAGAAATAATGAAAAATCAAAGCGGCGAGAATTTAAATTGTTCAAATAAATTTTGCGACGAAAATTGCGAGGAAACTATACAAGTTTCTTGAGGAGTTTTTTCCCTCCGTTCGACGAAATGACAGAGAAGATTAGGAACCCTTAAGCTTCATAAGCTCAGTCTCAAGTTATCGACAGGTAGTCGCTAGTGTTGCATCGTTACACTACAATACAATACAATGCAAACTTTATTGACACTCCCTAAAGTGGGTTTTTCGGTGACAATGATCTAAAAATTACAAAATTACAATACTGAAATGTATAATAGAAAATTGAGGAAGCTAAAGTTACAACTAAGAACGACGAGAAAGGAAAGCAGCAAGTAATTTGGCTCTAAGTTTACGCTTAAAATCACAAGAAGAATTACAGAGTTGAGGGTATTATCTAAACTGTTCCATAGACTTACTGTACGATAAAAAAAGTCCTTTGTCCAGATTTAATTCTATATAAGGGTACGTGCAGAAGTTGGGAGCTTCTGGTCGTACGACCACTTATTTCACCACGTGTTAGAAACTTCGAGGAGAGATCATAGGAGCGGAGCCGGTCATACATTTAAAAGCAACTACGNNNGGAGGGGACAGGGGGGTCGGAGTCTCCCGCTTCCCGTGCCACGCTCTCCCACTTCCCGTACTTGTGTACCCCCTTGCCTCCCGACTCTCGCCCTTCATTGTGTTGCTCCTGTCTTCAGGTTAATCAAGAGGATCAGAAACCCGGGTTTAACTTTTAAACAGGGCTAAAATCTTATTTCAGTTAGCTCAAAACGACCGTTCAATAATCATCAAATCTTACCCAATTTCACAAATAACGTCACTTTTCTTGCGAAACATCGTTAGATGTTTCGAAGAGAAAACAGCTTTCATCTATTATGACATATGTGGTACCAAAGAAATCATTTGTGTCTATCGCACGTAAAATGAAGATAGAGAAAAAGTTGGATTTGCATTTGATTGCGTAAATTCCAGTCTATGATGACTGATACGTCTTGTGATCATACCCAGGCAAGGGTACGGGCTCTACATCGCTTCCATAGTTAGTACCTGATGGATGCACTTGTGTATCTGCCTCCTTTTCAGAACTCGCAGCCTAAAAAAGCTCCTGTAGTGATGTAAGAGCTTGTTCCTCGGTGCTATCGTGTGCATCCACTGAAGTGTGCATATAGAAGGGGAGAGTGCCAGCTTTGTCTTTCGTAAAATAATTTCGCACGGACTGTTGCCTGATCCCTCGTCCAAATTCATTTCTCCAATTGTTAAGGCGTTTGATGTCTTCTTTATTCAAGAACGTAGTTGGCTCTCGAGGCACCGGAAGTAAGTCTTCGTACTTGATTGAAAACTATAATGGTAGCTCTTAGTGATGTTTCTCCCGAGTGAAGTAAATATAACTAGGCCAAGCAATTCTCTTTAAGGTATCATCTGCTGCCTCAACGAAATACATCGCACAATCCAGCACAGTAGGTGTGTCTGTCACCTGTCGCATTTCACTATTGAAATACTCGTTAACGAGTGTAAGAAATGTTCTTACATCAACAACTTCGAGCAGATGAGGACATTCTTTGCTTAATCGCGTTTCGAGGCGATGGAGGAAGTTCTTGATGAAAGTTACTGAGGCGAATGTCTTCTCAGCTGGGGTTCCCTGTGTCGAGAATTGGACCACTCCGCACTTCCGGCGCGCTCATTGAAGCGGCATTCCTTTGAAACAAGTTTGCACCACGAGGCAAAATCTTCAGTAATTTGGGAGGTGCAGTAATAAGGAGCGAGCTCCCAAGAAGGTCTTCCATGAACGGATTTTTTGTGGCCACAACGGAAAATACTGAGACCAATTAATACTGAGACCAATGTCTTGACGACATTTGTCACAATTGACCTGAATGACCCTGAATCACTTTCTTTGTTGGAGATTTTCGACAGCTACAACTTACCAGACACTGTACAAGTCATGCTATCTCATGACCAATGACCTAAACAATTTGAAGGGATTCATAAATTTACCGGAAGTACTGCTGTTTTTCCATCCCGGGTACAAATTTACGTTTTCTTGCCTCCGAAAATGTTTTTAAGCGTTGGTAGATGTTAACTGGAAATTTCAAAACCTTGTTAGATAAGTGTTTATGACTGAATGATACCCAGTAATAAGTTTTAGTTAGTTTTAGTTTTAGTTTATTAGCTTCGCCGACAGGCAGGGACACCGCAACAGCTTGCGCCAATTACTGCGGGCCCACTAAACCCACCCATCCCACCCCAGGGGAGGACATCCACCATACAGTAATCTCGTGCGCAAATTCTCCTCAGTTATTTTAAGACCATGAGTATTGGTCCGGCCAGGGCTCGAACCTTCGACCTCCCGCACAACATAATCCGGCGCTCTAACCAATTGAGCTAACCGGGAGGCGGAAAAGAACAATAAACTATCGCCTTATTTATTTCTACTCCCGGTTCCCGCCCTCATGTAGATACCGCTTCCCGCCCCTTGTTCTCCCGCTTCCCTCCCTCTTCCGCCCCTTGTTCTCCCGGGCTCCCGTCCCCCTGTCCCCCTCCACAGTGCAGTTCTCTGAGAAGCGGAGTCACGTGGTCAAATTTTCTGAGATCATAGATGATTCGGGCTGCAAAATTCTAGACCGCTTGGAGCTTGAGGAGGTTAGTGTCGTTCCTATCGACAAGGGAATTTCCATGGTTTCCGTTTTTCTTGATTTAGATTTTTACTTGAAATCTGTTCAACAATTAATTGTCGTNAGCAAGGATATTCATCCTTGTAAAGGAATTAACAATAATAATAACCTTTATTTTAAGAGGGTGACACCAATTACTTTCAAAGTATTCTCCCTAGTGGCCCTCTAAAACACCCAACCATCTATTTTAAGACCCTGAGTGTTGGTCCAGCAGGGGCGCGAACCCTCGACCTCCTGCACAACAGTCCATTGAGTGCTCTATCCATGTTGTTGTTGTCGACCTCCCGCACAACATAATCCGGCGCTCTAACCAATTGAGCTAACCGGGAGGCGGAAAAGAACAATAAACTATCGCCTTATTTATTTCTACTCCCGGTTCCCGCCCTCATGTAGATACCGCTTCCCGCCCCTTGTTCTCCCGCTTCCCTCCCTCTTCCGCCCCTTGTTCTCCCGGGCTCCCGTCCCCCTGTCCCCCTCCACAGTGCAGTTCTCTGAGAAGCGGAGTCACGTGGTCAAATTTTCTGAGATCATAGATGATTCGGGCTGCAAAATTCTAGACCGCTTGGAGCTTGAGGAGGTTAGTGTCGTTCCTATCGACAAGGGAATTTCCATGGTTTCCGTTTTTCTTGATTTAGATTTTTACTTGAAATCTGTTCAACAATTAATTGTCGTTTACTAAGGGCTGAATCTCCGTATGCATTTAATAAACACAGTGCACCATGGAAAGTCTGTCTTTTTGTATCAGAAATCTTACTCGTTCACTAGGCCCACTCGTTCGATTTCCGATACTAACTCCTTTGTAACTGTTTTCCAACTCGTTCTCGATACGCTCATCTGTTGAATAAATTGTACCAATGCACAATGGTCGGTAATGAAGCCAAGTGCATTTCCACGTGCATCTACCGAAATTTTCTGACATATATTAGTGTTTGCTTAGCGCAAACACTCGCTCATTTTTCGCTGATCGTTCACAGAACAGCACGCTTTTCACGCCAAATTTAAACATTCGTTGAATTCAGTTGGGAAAAATGCCGTTAAGAGAGGGTTATCAGATCCTTGAGGAGAATCTGGATGAGGAAAGCAACGCCCACGAAAAAACCCTGGACGAGACGTTTGAAGAGATGAAAAAAATATCAACCATGGATACATTTTGGAGCGCGTGTAACTCCGTTCAAGGACTTACCATCTTAGCAATGCCTCTTGTGACGTCTTTTGGTGGATACTGGCTTCTTTTTGGCATTACAGCCATCGCAGTGCTCTCTAACTATACCTCAAAAATCCTCATACAGTGCCTGTATGAAGAATGTCCCGGAAAAGGTCGAACACGTGTACGTAATACATTCGCTGACATCGGGGATGCTTTCTGGCCAACGTACGGAAGACATATGGTCGATGCGACAAAGTTTCTGGAATTGATTTTTGTTGCAACTGTGAATCCAATAGCTTGCGGGGAAGCCATTTATTACACCGTTCCTTACCTTCCCGTTGGGAAGCAACTTTGGATCCTCATTTTCGGCCTGGCTATGATTCCCAACGTTTTCCTGAGCTCTGTGAAGTTACTTTCCAAAATCAGCATGCTTACTATATTTTTTGCCCTGACAAACGTCTCTATCATAGTCGCTTATTGCTTGGGTCACAGTGCTTCCTGGAAAACGGAGGATTTGCTGGTTTTCGACCCTGTTCGGTTTCCCCTGGCACTTGGAGTAGTTTTGGCCAGCTTCTCGTCTCAAATTTACCTGACTGTGCTAGAGGGAAACATGCGACGTCCTGAAAAGTTCAACACCGTCATCAACTACGCTTACATCGCTATGACTGAGCTGAAGATCGGCGTAGGAGCATTTGGTTATTTGACCTTCTCGGGCGGTGTCAGTGACATGGTGTCCAACAACCTTCCACTCGGACTCTATCGCGTCATTGTGAACATTGTGGTAACCGTCCTGTTAGTGCTGTTGCGTTTCATGCTGACATCACTCACCATCCTGATGGCAGTTCTTGTTCCGCACTTCACTCTTTTTGCAGCATTTATCGGAAGTGGTACAGGTACAGTCATAGCGCTGGTTTTCCCTTCTGTTTTTTATGTTAAAATCTTTTACTGGGAGTTAAGGTGGCACGAGATTGTTCTGAACGTCTTCATCGTATGTTTTGCACTGCTAATGGCAGCCTCTGGGATGGTTTCTACAGGACGGCAACTATACCTAACCTTCACTGCTAAAGAGACGGATTTCTAAAGCTTAACTAACGACTCCGCTGTCAAGAGCAGTTGGTCAAGTAACACAAAAATCAAGTTTGATATTATGCCTGGACTTTTTGGAAATAGAGATCGGCCCAAGAACTAAAGTCCCGAAATAAAAATGTTTTGTACCTGTTACCCGGTAAATTGGGTGGCTTTCACTGGTGCTGAGGCATCGTCAATCTAAGAGGCCGAGAAATTTTTTTTCTGACAGGCCCCTCGACAGCCCATTTCATGCTGCTTCGCCGTTTGCAGTGCAGCATCGTTGGGAGCCCAATCGCATGTTATATAAGAGACAGTTTTGTTTTAGAACGGGGTAATTAAGAATCGCTCAAATAGCATGTAACAAGTGTTGTTCTGTTAAAAGATGAAAACATTATGGGCCGGTTATTTAAACGGTCTCCCCCAAACCGCGGTTTACCAAAGCAATGGACCTCAGGTATTCTCTATTAGAGGGTTGACTTGATTAAATAAATATCCTTCGACTGTTAGTTTTCGGCACTTGACACTCGATAAATGTTCAGATAAAAGGTTCGGCTAAATTGAAGATGGTGTAAAACGCGGTTTTGTACAAACCGATCCACTAAGTTTAACTCAAAAATTTTCCCATGGGCTCGAGGTATCTCGAACGAATGATTTATTGAACGAGGGAATATACCACTACGACTGGTGCCTTTTTACTAGTGTTATCAGACGCACGAGTGATGCGCAAGTAAACAAAAAATTGCGCTTCACGAAACCTGGGTCCACGCGATAACAACGAAAGACTATACAATTCATATATCACAAGAATCTCTTCTTTTATTACTCAGAACCAAGCACTTCTCCTTTCCAGACTGAACAACGGCGATTTAATAGGAAACCATCCGGAAAAATAACAATTAAAATCCGTAATGATCCAACGGCGCAAAGTTGTTCCCCAAACAAAGAGAGTGAGGGAAAAACCAGCCTCGAATTAAAAAATACCTCCACTTTAACACCATAGGCATATTAAATTCAGTTTCTCTGCCGTCAGAAAGTTTCAATAAGGAAAAAAGCAAGGAAGGGCAGCAAGCCCACAGAGCGTTGTAAAATTAAATCTGATTTTAAAAAATAAGAATTATTTTCTATCCCAATTGGATATCGCTTAATATTACTTCATCCCTTTTTCTTGACGAAAATCGGTGGGTTCCATAAGTGATAGGTATTTGACTATTGCGTGCACATCAAAATAGTTTTAGTTTCCTTAACAATTAGGACAATATTCACGCTAAAGCTACCTATTTTCCGCCGCAGGTCTGATCAGTGTTATAATTCAGCTTAAACGGAATCATCACTGATAAAACGAATTTCAAAGATATATTGTATTCTCTCAATATAGCATAATTTCAAGGCTTTTTCGTTCTTTTCCTAATACATTTTTTAGCTTTAAAGATGATAATCTGGCATTTTTTGCTAAGCTTACAAAAGTTTCCACCGCTCCCACTAGCGTTTGGATGCAAATGACCTTATGCTTTTTTTTTTCGCACAATACGTATGTGAGATTTAATAGAAAGCAACAGAAAAGAAACATAAAATGGTTTTAACTTGAACTATGATCACCGACCGAGGTCTTTCTGTTAATGCAGAAACTGATGATACAAAAAAATCCACAAAAAAAAACAAAAACAAAAACAAAAAAACGCAAAAACTTGTCTCTTAAAACATTTTAGAAGAAAGAGGCCCCAATTCTTAAGAATAAAGGCTGATAGTTTCTAAAGAAACTGTTTGGGGCTGCGTCGGTTGGGGTAACGAAATAATTTGGATATATCAACAAAGTTGAAATGGTAAATTGGCCACCGTAACGATTACAAAAGCTGACGTTTCGAGCGCCGACGTTTCGTTAGCACGAAGGGCTAACGCTCGAAACGTCAGCTTTTGTAATCGTTACGGTGGCCAATTTACCATTTCAACTTTGTTTATATACCCCAATTCTTAAGCCTTTTTTTCTCATTGGAGAAAAGCTAAGGCGAATTCAGTAAATTTCATGGTGACCACACAATTAGAGCGAAGCTACGCAACGCAAAATAGATTTTACCCCCCCCCCCGTAAAAATTCAGAGCAGATAAAAACTCAACTAACACTAGCCAAATGTAGTGAGAAGTTTAAGGTGTTCACCGCCAACACACCAAGTTTGGTCGGCTGTTAAACAGCAGGTTGTCTCTCCTTCATACATCACACATGGATGCTTTCCCCAGGCATCTCTGGATTGGTTGATTATTAAAATTTTGTGGAGAAAGAATCACACTTCTGTATAGGAGAAAGAAGCTCTTGGTAATCCGGGGGATCGCGGTCCTGACCACAAGGGATTTTCAAAAGTTCTTGTCCTAATCCAGTGATTGGTCTTTGTTTATGAAATTCCACTAAATCTTTGAGAGTCTCATGGGCGATCTGATTATGGCCAAAAAACTGGTAAGTGTTTTCACTGGTGTCGACCAGATAATGCTTGCAGCGCTCCGGCGCACGATAAGTGATAGTATAACCCCAAACTCTCTCGCTCACGCGAACCAAAAACGACCCCGGTGGTTTATTGACCAGCAAATTTTCAGCGTCCTGCCGGGAGATTATCCCTGGAAAAAAAAAAATATATGGGTTATTAACCTAGCGTGAGGTCAAAATGACTGGATATTGGCCGAGTTCTTCTTTGCATATTTATGAACCGAGACGAAGTCGAGGTCCATAAAAATGCGAAAAAAGAAAGAGGCTAATATTCAACCATCTTGACCGAATAAGCTTGGTTAATAAAGGATTTATTATATCGCAAAAAAAACATTCGCTTTATTAATAAGAATTAAGAATGACTTGTTTACTTCGAACGCCTGGAAGAAAGTCAGCTGGGTTTGTAGCACAACAAACTCACGAGAGTCGTTTCTGTTTTCTTTATTTTGACTATCTTCTGCCACTTTTTGCGTTTCCACCGCCGAAATTGTCCGAGAATTACGAACGTAGTTCTAATTCTACTTTATACATGCGCGGGATCAATGCAGGCATTCCCGAGCGGGCAAGGTAGGACCATCTTGCCCGCTCGGGTAGCCAATCAGAACACAGGATTCGCTTCATCTTGCCCACGGGCGCTGCGAGCGATGTATCAAATATACTTGTATACTATATACTTATCACAGGTTGATCTACTCAGCCCCTGGCAAAGAATTCATCCTTCACACACTAGCAGTCGACAACAGCTTAGCTTGTCATAGTGACTGGTCGACATCCTATAATTGTTCCCGTAAACAGTAACTGAAGTCAAACCAAATAAGGCAAAATATAAAGGAGTCCTCAATTGTTCTTCCCAGCGAGATTAGTTACAGACCCCTACACTGTCTAACTACATCTGCTTTAGGTATCTACACATCCCAAAGCTGCGACTCTCACCGTGAAAATATGGTAGTATCTGATCGCCGTCGTAACAAATTCTCTTAGCTAGTTCTTCTTGCTGAAACCATTCGACAACGTTCCTTTTAGTTTTGGGTTTAACGCTCCTTCTCGGCCTGAGAGGGGTAGTGTTGCTTGGCGGAGGAGGTCTGGGGGGAGCCGCAGGTTTGACATCACTGGGCCTGTAGATTTAAGAAACACAACAACATTTAAACACACAAAAAAAAACGAGACAAAAACAGACAATTCACGCCATAACGAGTCAATTCTTTCAACATTCTTAGCCTTGGTCATTCTTTACGCTACGTATTCCCTCAAAAATTCTCTGTGCTATGTGATTCTCCCAAAATAAGCGTTGGGAAACTCGGCTAATTCTCAATCCAAGGAGATCTAATTTGTAAGAGGCTCGCAACAGTCTCCCACAATTATGTATACAGAGATCGGACCAACCAAAGTATGTTGAGTTTAAAAGCAAACTGAAAGACACTTGTAGCCCGG